CACCCCCGAGTGAGTGAGCGGACCGGGGGGGGCTTCGGCAGTTGTTCAGCGCTGGGTTCCGCTTTGGTTGGAAAAAGGAGGCCGGGGGGAAAGGGAAAAATCAAGAACCACAAGCCCCGCTGCAGAAGTGGGAAGGGAGGAAGGAATACTTATTTGCACGGTCTCTCCTGTTGCTTTTCCCCCCTCTCCTGCTTTCTGCCGAGTTTAGCAGCGAGACTGTTCACTGGGAGAAAGCAAGCAGGATTTGACTACCTAGATTGAGCAGATAGCTCCTAATAGCCCTAACACACCTGCGTTCCTAAAATCTGGGCAGGAGTATTTCCTTTGGGTGCCGCTCAGCAAAAGCTGCAGGATACTTTTCAATATGAATCAGAAGCGGACAAAATGCCAAAAGTATGATTTTGCCAGCCTGAATTTGTCTGACCGTTTTTCTTTCCGACAAGTTAGGAGGCTTACTCTGACACGGGGTGGCTCCTGGCCGCCTCTTGCTACGCTTTGCTGCAAATTAACGCATCCCACGTGTTAACAGGGTTATGTACACGGTCCATTTCTACGCTCTTCTCACCAAAAAGTCGTGAGCCAGAGCCTCACCTAACGCTGCAAAACACTGACTCCAGTGATTTGTTCTGCTGCTGGGTTTGCTCTGAGCGCAGAGGATCTATTCCTCACTTTTATGGCTTCTTTCAGTGGTGGCAATTACCAAGGCAATTACCAAAGTTCAAAGAGATGAGGTTTTATTGCTTTCTATCGCACAGGGAGGCACAGCAGCCTTATGAAATCACAATTATAAGGTCATTAGCCTTGTCAGTAGCCATGCTAATGAATATGTTGCAGGATCATCAGAAGCATTTTCATGGAAACTGTGACCAGCGAGGCATTCCCAATCCCACAACCTTTACTCATGCAATCTATCCCATTGATAAGCTTGCCCAAAATGCCCCGCTGTTTTGAAGCCACAGAATTATTTGAATGACTTTCATGTTGTCTCTTTGATCATAGGAAGACTGTTCCGTATGGTCTTGGAGGCCCTTCTCGATCCAGAAGATCGCTGAAGAACGTGGTGCCAGAGGTGCTCCCTGAACCTAGCACCAGATGCCAATGTGCCAACCAGGACGACAAGAAATGTCTGAACTTCTGCCAGACAGGAAAAGATCTCTGGTGCGTCTATTGTTGCTACTCTTTAAAAGGCAGTGCATGTAAAAGGGATGGATTGTGGTAGACTTACTCATTTTGGCACTTGCTGAGCGAATAATCTCCCCAAAACCTTGCCTCCTACCTGAGCAGTCACACTGCTATGATACATACTATGGTTTGGCCCAGAAAGATTGCTTATTACATGCCTTGAGAAGTGGTTGATGAGATGCCTCACCTTGTGGACTGCAGACTTCTTTTTTTTTTTTAACAGCAGCGCCTTTTCACTTTTAACAGGGCTCAGTCCACAGTGGAGAAAACCTCACGTCACCGCAACAAAGCTGGCAATTGCATTGGACCCAAATGCATGAACCGACAGTTTGTTGACAGCAAGAAAACGAAGCGGTGAGTTTCTTCTCATCCTGTTGTAGTTCCCCGAAGTAGCAATAGAGAGCACAGTTCACCTGCCTTCGGGTCAGTGTGGGCTTAGCTGGTGATTTCAGCTTGAGAGTTACGGAGGAATCGGTGAGGACATCTGGAAGGTTTTTCTTCATGCAGTGGGTTTTTAGCTCGTGAAGACACAGGTGCTGAGCTCTGCCTAGCATCCTCTGTTTGCTTAGAGGAAGCAGGCTTAGTTGTACGCCTAAAGATACACCAAACTTCAGAAGAGTATGAAATCATGAAATACTGACAGAAATAAATAGAGCCTGTCATTTTAGTGTGTTCGTGCACTATCTTAACTACTTAAAAATATTATGTCCCAACTATTCTAATACGAAATTGAATCAGAATGCCTTTTCTTAGATACTTTACTCTGTTTTACTGGAGGGAAAGAAAGAAGATTATTGATCTATCCAGATTTGGAATATATTGTTTCTTCTGGCTGGTGTGGCTGGCTTTTCAGAATGCAGGAAGATTTCTACCTGCCTTATCTCTTACGTTGCCCGATAAACCTGTGTAAAATGAGTACAGGATGTTAGTGATGGAAATGACTGCAAAAAGATAGAGGAGAGGGAAAATGAAGACTAAATTAATATTTGAGCCCAATTTAATATTTGATATTAGGAGTAAATTTCAGGACTGCCCTTTGAAGTCCGTGCGTAACAAGTTGAGTGGCAGTAGGCAACAATATCACTCCACAGTGCAGTTCAGAGACGCATGCATTGGACTTGGTGCAGCTATGAACCCCACAGAGGTGAAGTCAGCATTGAAGTGGAGTGTTAGTTCGGCTATATCAGCCCCAGCGTTCAGTGTTCGGCCGTATGCCCGTGTAAAAGTATGGCATACAGAATTTTGCTCTTACAAAAGAAGACTCTTTAGCGCTACTTTCAAAAGCAGAACAGGATTTATGGGAGCAGGCAGCCTGATGATTTTGAGTGAGACTTAGGTCCTGGAAGTCTTAAATCATTTTTGAAAATGGGGCTGGCTTACTTACTTACTTGAAAAATGCACCCATTCATTGGAACCAGGATCAGGTTTACCTAAAAGACACAAAAGAGCCAAAAAGAGTAACACTGAAGACCTCTTGGTTGGATATGTGCTATTTAAGGAAGTCTAGGGCATCTATATTTGAATGAATATTTTAACTTATTTTAATGTTTGTGTTTAAATTCTGAATCCAATATTTCAAGTGGCTTAAGTTAGCATAATTCTGACAGAGGTATAGCAATCAGGAGTTACTGAGGGTCCCATGGCAGAAATCTAGACTGAGGCTTACTTAATCAAAAACTGAATGTCTGCACGCTGGAGGTGCATCTTCATTATTGTAACAATAATTCAACAATAACAATATTTCTTATTTTTGCAGGCTGGAAGCCATTGGTAACAGTATCAAAGCTTCCTTCAGTATTGCAAAGCTGAAGGCTGAGCTCCAGAAAGGGTGGAAGCTGAAACATAACAGGGCGAACAAAAGGCAAAGCATCTGGGAAAGCCTGAAAGCATCCTAGTGGGAAGATCACCTTCTCCGTCACACTTGCTGACCAAAACTCTTGACTTCTAACATTCCACGACGGCGAAGGGCCTCTCTGTCCAAACGTTTGCGCAGCAGAGCAAAACGCTAAGAAAGTCCTATATTTGGAGGGATAAAAGCAAAGGATTTCATCATTTTGGAATTCAGATGGATGGATTGAGGGATGAAGGGGAATCCACAGTAACATACATGAAAAGCCATCTTTCTGAAGAAACATTTGAATATTGCTTCTGGAATGTTACCCATCAGTTGAGCAGCTTTCAGGGTCGACATCAAAAGCATCTTGCAAGGAAGGCCTCACAGATGTGCTTAGAAAGGACAGAAAGCAAGATCTGAGTGGACAAACTTCAAAGCGAAAAACTCTACCTTTTGATTAAAATGCAAAAACGAAAATCTCAGTGCTACTTTAATCAGGACTTACTGCATAGATACATGTCTACCTCGCGTACTGTTTGTTGCACTCCTGCTAGAGTATTTTTACACCTTGTTATTGCCTTTACTAATCAGCTGCAACCCTTTGCCTTTTTTCAGAAGTCTAATTGACTTGTACAACCAGAGTTATCTGAATGTGGGTGAGACACTGTGGTTGTTTGCATAGTCAAAGTCCTTTGGTTTTGGATACCAAAGGACTCTTCAACATAAAATAAAAGTTAGAGGACACTACTAGGTTTCCTATAACAAGTATATTTGGCTAACTGAAGTTCTAATAATAGAAGTTGTTGTGTCTTACATGCCACCAAAAATGCACTGAAGTGGGAATGTACCAGAGGCTGTTGTGAGATTTATTCAGTGCCTTGTTTGGTGGAAATGTGTCAAGACAAAGGGTTGTTTTGAATTATGTCAAAAGGCTAATATTGGGTGAATGTTTATAGCAGTGAATTTGTTCACATTGTTGAATTTGCTGACAGGTTGAATCTTACATGCTTATTTTTTGTGTTTTGTATTTATATTCACACAAGTTCTTCATTATATTTACCATGTTGAATACACATTGAAGTAGGCCATATTGGTCTATGCATGTTTTATGTATTTCTGTATGAAATTGGAAAATGCTTTATGCCTATCAAGGTAAATATCTTCAGAAATAAATATTTTTAATTACTGTATTGGCTTGTTCTTCATACGCCCTGTTTTTCTGTAGGCTGTGGCCCCATGAGCATGGAGGTAGATTGCCCCATGTACAAAGCTGACCTGGATGAAATGTGTGCACATGATTGCCTTTCTGTCAGATTAGCCAAATCACAACACAGAAAGGTTATGCCAGATGTGAGACAACAGTTAATATTTGTTCTAGCTTCAAGCTCGCTCATCAGAATTTCATGGTGAAATTTGAATCGACCAAATGAATTTCTCCTGGAGCAGCACTCTCACATGGCTGATGTCTTTTTCATCCAATAGTACAAATTCTAATGTTGGATTTACTGTACCATTAAAATTTTGCCAGTAAGGGGTTGGATATACATGAAGCAGAGGAGAAAATGCACAGACTGGATGCTTTGTGGGCTATATTGGACTAGGCTGTCTTATGTTACTTATTACCATGCTATCCCAAAAAGTCTCAGCCCAGCCCACGAAAGTCAAAGATGGAGTCCTCAATGGGTCTTCATCCTTGAGAGCCTGGCCCAAGCCCAGGAAAGAGCTAGAGCAATAGTCAAACTTTGCATGTCTCCAAACGTTTTGGCCTAAAGTGGTTATAGCTGGAAAGATGCTTAAAGCAAGTAAATGGGTTTAGTCATCTCTGATCCTATAGGAAAAAAAAAGCACAAGAGTTGGTCCATGGATAAAACTGTTTTGTTTTTTTTTAAAAACAAACTTTTACAAACAAACACAATACAAGGTGTGTGACGCTGACAAACACTAACAGCAGTCACTGTTAAAAATTTCTTAAATTGTTCTGGATTTCTTGTCAGTATCCATTTGTTTGCAGCGTTTTTTACACCCAAACACCAGAAGGCTGAATAAACTCCGTATCATGTTTTCTTCACGCTGCTCTGCTACGTTTTGGGGCAGTAATTCAGCGGGGAGATGGTAGTGCTGGCAGCCGGGGTCCGACAGGAGAGCCTGGCCCAGGTAGCGGGAAGGAACCGGGAGCCCCTGCGCTTCTGCAGGGCAGCATGCGGCCCCCGGAGCCGCCCTTTGGTCTCTGCATCAGGACATGCGTGGATCGCTGACCTCTGTCAGGTGTGAAGAGACCTCACTAACCCTCCCTGGTTTGCCGTTTCTTCCCCCACCGGTGGTTGCCTTCAGCAGGGAAAATAAACAAGCAAGTAATTGAGGTGCTGCCTCTCACCCA